CTCTATGTGCCTCGGCCCCTCAGCATCCCTATGCTTGAGTGTCCCTGTCTCCACAACCCCTCCCCCTGCAGCCGCGCAGAGCCACCCGGCTCGTGGCCGCTGTTTACAAGGACACGCGCTTCCTGACAGTGACGCGAGCCGCCTCCTCCCCTTCCCCACGCTCTAGGAGGGGGCCGCGGGGGCCTGGCTCCCGCGTCGGCCAATCAGAGTGCACTTCCGCAGCTGACAAATTCAGTATAAAAGCTTGGGGCTGGGGCCGAGCACTGGGGACCTTGAGGGTGGCCAGGTCAGCTTTGGATCCCGCAGAGAGCGGGGAACTGAGGGAAGCGACGCCGAGAAAGCAGGCGCACCACGGAGGGAGAGAAAAGCTCCGGAAGCCCGGCAGCGCTTTTACGCACAGCTGCCAACTGGCCGCTGCCGACCGTCTCCAGCTCCCGAGGACGCGCGACCGGACACCGGGTCCCGCCACAGCCGAGGACAGCTCTCCGCTCGCCGCAGCGAGGCCCGGGGCGGCCCTTCAGGGGGACCTTTCCCAGATCGCCCAGGCCGCCCGGATGTGCACGAAAATGGAACAGCCTTTCTATCACGACGACTCATACGCAGCGGCGGGATACGGTCGGAGCCCTGGCAGTCTGTCTCTACACGACTACAAACTCCTGAAACCCACCTTAGCGCTCAACCTGACAGATCCCTATCGGGGTCTCAAGGGACCTGGGGCTCGGGGTCCAGGCCCAGAGGGCAGTGGAGCAGGCAGCTACTTTTCGGGTCAAGGATCAGACACAGGAGCATCTCTGAAGCTAGCCTCCACGGAACTGGAGCGCTTGATCGTCCCCAACAGCAACGGCGTGATCACGACGACGCCCACGCCTCCGGGACAGTACTTTTACCCCCGTGGGGGTGGCAGCGGTGGAGGTACAGGGGGCGGCGTCACCGAGGAGCAGGAGGGCTTTGCGGACGGTTTTGTCAAAGCCCTGGACGACCTGCACAAGATGAACCACGTGACGCCCCCCAACGTGTCGCTGGGCGCCAGCGGGGGTCCCCAGGCCGGGCCAGGGGGCGTCTATGCTGGTCCGGAGCCGCCTCCCGTCTACACCAACCTCAGCAGCTACTCCCCAGCCTCTGCACCCTCCGGAGGCTCCGGGACCGCCGTCGGGACTGGGAGCTCATACCCGACGGCCACCATCAGCTACCTCCCACATGCACCACCCTTTGCGGGCGGCCACCCGGCGCAGCTGGGCTTGAGTCGCGGCGCTTCCGCCTTTAAAGAGGAACCGCAGACCGTACCGGAGGCACGCAGCCGCGACGCCACGCCGCCTGTGTCCCCCATCAACATGGAAGACCAGGAGCGCATCAAAGTGGAGCGAAAGCGGCTGCGGAACAGGCTGGCGGCCACCAAGTGCCGGAAGCGGAAGCTGGAGCGCATCGCGCGCCTGGAGGACAAGGTGAAGACACTCAAGGCTGAGAACGCCGGGCTGTCGAGTACTGCCGGCCTCCTACGGGAGCAAGTGGCGCAGCTCAAGCAGAAGGTCATGACCCACGTCAGCAACGGCTGCCAGTTGCTGCTGGGGGTCAAGGGACACGCCTTCTGAGAGCCTCCCTTGCTCCATACGGACTCCCCAGCCTTGAAGGCTGGGCGCCCGCCCCCCACTGGGGTGAGGGGGGCAGGGGATGGGCACCCGCCCAGAGGCCTGGGGCGCAGCTCACACACTGGACTCCGGCCCGCCCGCCTGCGCCCAGTCCTTCCACCTCGAGGTTTACATGGCCCCCTTCCAGCGTATTTTGTATGTTTTTTTTTTTTCTGGAAAGAGACTGAATTCATATTGAATATAATATATTTGTGTATTTAACAGGGAGGGGAGAAGGGGGCTGTCGCGGCGGAGCTGGCCCCGCCGCCTGGTACTCAGCCTGCGGGGATACTAGGGAGGGACCTCCGCCCCCTGCCCTCCCCCTCTGCACAGTACTGTGGAGAAGAAACACGCACTTCGTGTCTAAAGTCTATTTTAAGATGTGTTTGTGTGTGTGTGTTTGACTTTTTATTGAATCTATTTAAGTAAAAAAAAAATTGTCTTTATTAATTTCTGTGGTCTCTTTTTCTTCCAAGCTGGGAGGGAGAATGGGCTGCCCCAAGCTCGGTGCTGTTTGTAGCTCTCTCCTTTCAGGTATCTCAAGGTCCAGTACAAGCGTCCGAACCTCCCATCCCCGGGGTGCTGGCACCAGACGCTGCGCAGGCGGGCAGTGGCGGGGAACAGGCTGCCCAGGACGAAACGCGGAATGTGCAAGCACGGCCCCGCCCAGCCCAGTGCGCCGGGGCTTTCCCCGCTGACGTTACGGAAGCGCTGCCCATATATGGGCCTATTCGGCTCAGTGACGCCAGCGCGGTCTCCGGGCAGATTCCGGGAATCCCCTCCCCCCTCTCTGCCGGGCAGGGCCGCGGCGCCGGGAAGAGGGCCGGGATTTTCCCGGGCAGGCGGCTTTCTGGGCGCGGAAAGCCCCAGGCCCGGGTCCAGGGCGCCCGCGGCGGGAGGGCTGTGCTCTCCTGAGCCCTGGGAGCCACCGGAGCGGCTTTCAACAGGCTGGCGCCGGAGCCCCGCCGCGCCCACGCCCCCTCCATTGGACAGACCCTGGCCGAGAGTAACTGCAGCCTCCCTGTAGTCGTAGACGCCGTCAGGGCAACTCCCGCCAGGAAGGGCGGCGCCCGCCCGCCACTGTCCCCCTCCCGTGTGCCAGGCCAGAAGCCGGCGACTGCCAGGTCTGGTCCTGTCCGGGCAGTGGTTTGGGCAGCTGGGCGTCGCCACAGCCTGCTCCCCAGCCGCCGACGTGGAGGTTCAAAGCAGCCGGTTGCTGGTGGGATCTGGGGGCATTGAAGCTGGAAGACCCCAGCGCAAAGGAAACTGTACCATTCGGGTGAAGCCGAGGAATAATTCAGTAGTAAAGGGAAATGGGCCTCAAGCCTCTCTTGGCTACATAGTAAGGCCCTTTCTCAAAACAAAACAAACATAACCTGACCCCAACCAAACAAAAACCTCAGACAACTTGGACCACAGTGCAGACAGAAAAAAGGAAAGCAGATAGGGGTAGGTGAGCTGAGATGGTTCAGCATGTAAAGATGCTGTTTGCCACGATTACCCAAGTTTGATTCCTGAATCCAGGAGGAGAAACCATTTGTCTTCACATTTCACATGCCGGCGAACACACACACACACACACACACACACACACACACACACACACACACCTTTTAAGAGAAAAAAGAAAGAGGAGCGGGAGAGATGGCTTAGCAGTTTAGCAGTTAAGGGTATGTATTTCAGACCGTACAAGTATGCTTCTTTGCCTGAACCCACCTTAGCTCACAAACCCCTTGAGTTTCAGGGGATGCAATGCCCTCCTCTGGCTTCTGTAGGCACTGCACCCTCGCGCCCACAAAACACACCTTTTTTTTTCTTTCAATAAAAGCAAACATGATTTGAATATGGTGATGAGAGCTAGGAAGAAGAATATCCGTTCAAAATGTGCCTTCTTGCCAGTTGTTGGCGCACGCCTTTAATCCCAGCACTTGGGAGGCAGAGGCAGGCAGATTTCTGAGTTAGAGGCCAGCCTGGTCTACAGAGTGAGTTTCAGGACAGCCAGGACTGCACAGAAAAACCCTGTCTCAAAAAAAAAAAAAAAAAAAAAAAAAAAGTGTCTTCTGGGGCAAGGGACGCAAACTCATCTACAGACTGTATTGTCAACTTTCCAACAGATTTGCCAGGTTGGGGACAGAGGAAAGATATACCCGACCACAGTTCTTGTAGCCAAAGCAAAAGCATCTGACAAACCCAAAGAGTGTGCCTGAAATGGAACGAACCACAGTAGGGTGGTTTCAGAGCACATTAAATTCCAAGAGATAGCTAGGCGTGGGGCTCTGTGGTAGAGGGCTTACATGTCATTCAAGAGACCATGGATACTATCCCTAGCATGAGGGTAAAAATTGGGTTAAGAATTCCGGGGGTGGGGGGTGGGGCTGGAGAGATGTCTCAGTGGTTAAGAGCACCGACTGCTCTTCCGGAGGTCTTGAGTTCAATTCCCAGCAACCACATGGTGGCTCACAACCATCTGTAATTGGATCTGATGCCCACTTCTGGTGTGTCTGAAGATAGCAACAGTGTACTCATACAAATAAAATAAATAAATCTTAAAAAAAAAAAAAGAATTCCAAGGTGGGGAGGAATGACACCTAGAAAGTATCTGCAACAGCAGGACCTCAGAATAAGCTGAGGCTGAAGGAGCTACAGTGTGGGGACTCTTGTGTCAAAACAGAAATAAAGTAAAAATAATGACCAGACGATCCTTGTTTTGTCAAATGAAAATGAAACTCAGAAAGAAAAGCTACTCAAGTAAAACACTCACCTCCTAGCCTAACCCACACCGGTTCTCCCACTATTGGTCTCAGGCTCCTGCCCAGGGTACTAGACAAAACTGGGTCAGAGCCTAGAGGTTCACATACTTGAACTCACATGGTGATTTGACTTTAGATCTTATTCCCATCCAATGAGAAAACCCAGTGAAGATCCCAGCTGTTTAATACCATTTTATATAGTTAATCGCAAGATATGGGCACTAGTCTGCAGAGCCAGGATTCAGAAATAAACTGCCCATCACTATTTTTTAAAAGAAGTATTTATTCATGTCTATGCATGTTCTGCCCGTATTCATGTGCATGCCTGGTGTTGGAGGACCAGACAAGGGCGTTGGAACTGACGTTAAGGAAGGTCGTAAGCAACTATTTAAGTTCCGGGAATGGAACACGGGTCGTCTGCAGAAGCAGCAAGTGCTTTTAACCGATCCTTCCAGATCCCTCCAACAGTGGTATTTGTTCTCCATGTCTCACCATGCTTAGGCCATGGAGCGAATGAGGTGATGCCTCCACCTTGTGGTGAAGAGAAGTAATTACAGTCATCTGTACAAGCCAGAATGTAAAGATAGGGGTCAGAGTCGACTACTAAAGACACACCAACACAGACTTACACTGTCCCTAATACTTTATTGGTTTCCTATAGACCGGGGCCCAGCTGGGTGTGCTCAGGGCAGGGTCACTATTCACCAGATTTCGGGTGGGTAATGAGAAAGCCTCGGCCTAGTCCCCAGCCCCTTCAGAGTGTGGAGGAAGATCTAGCGTTTTCTGGGCCAGCACAGGACATCCAGGTTGGGGCACAGGTGAGATCCAAGATTCCGGCTCACCGATGTTTACCCATCTCAGTTGTGTTTGGAGAAGTATTCCTTGCTGTCATCCACATTGGGCTTGATGGTGTCGCTGCCAGGCTTCCAGCCAGCAGGACAGACTAGAAAAACATACAAGGATGAACACGTGAGGCTCTGCTGCACCACCAAGGTCAGAGACAAGCAGTTCATTGGAGAACACAGGCTGCACAATAAAAGGCTGGGAGCTAAAAAGCCAGGCTTCCAGGTTGCATGTGGACAGAAGCCACTGCTCAGACAGGTTTGAAGTGACATTTTCCTGTTCCATCATTTTGTGTCTTCTGTTTTTTTTGTTTGTTTGTTTTTTGGGAAATCTAACTATGGCAGAGGTCTACAGAAGGTATTTGAACTAGGAATGCTGGGGAATACCTGCCACCCCAACACTTGGAAGGCCGAGGCAGGATTGAGGCTAGCCTATGATATAGGGCTGGCCTTGAACCCATGGTGATCCTATCTCTGCCCATCTCCAAATGCTGAAGTACTGAAGTTTGAGCCTTGGACCATGTGCAAGCCAGAAAAGAATTCTACACCTAGCTGTCCTTCAGTCTTTTGTTTGTTTGTTTGTTTTTAAAGAATGGGACTCTGGGTGGCCTACAGCTTTCTCTGTATAGATCAGGTTGGCCTCAAATGTGCATTGATTCTTCCTCTGCTGCCTGGACACTGGAACTACAGGCATGTATCATCAAGTTCACGCTTTTTATTTTAAAATAGTATCTCATTCTGTAGCCCAAGCTCACCTGGTGATGCCTCTGCTTCACGTCCTAAGTGCTGAGATCACAGGCCTGTGTCGAGATGCCCAGCCCCTTCAATCCACTCTCTCCATTAGCCTTAACCCTACCAAACTTTGCACCTATGGTGAGTTTTCCCTTTCACAAGGCGAGCTACTATGACTGAGCTATGGGTATAGCTCAGTGAAAGAACTGTCTAGTATGTTAGGGCCTTTGCTTTGATCACTAGCACACACAAAGAATTTTTTTAAAGGGGGAGGGGGCATGGCATCTTGTGTCTTTAATCCCAAAGGCAGGTAGACCTCTCTGAGTTCAAGGCCAGGCCAGTTTGAGACCTTCTACACACACACACACACACACACACACACACACATATATATATATAATTGAGGAAGTGAAAAAAATTGGGAGTGACTCTTGGGATACTTCTCAAAAAAAACTTTTTTTTGAGGTAGGTTCTCATATAATTTAGGCTGAATTCACTAGAGACGAAACTCTGATCTTTCTTCCTTAGCTTCCCAAGTGCTCGGATTACAGGTATACATCAGCATGCCCAGTTTTATGCTGTCTTGGGGACTGAACTCAGGGCTTTGTGAATACCAGGCAAACACTCTACCAACTAAACCAAATTCTCAGCTTGAAATCCTGTGAATAAGCCTGTTAATACACCTTTTTTCTTTTTCTTCTTTTATCTTTTTGTCTTTGTTGCTATTTAAGGTCTCAGGCTAGAGAGATGGCTCAGTGGTTAAGAACACTGAATGCTCTTCCAGGGGTCCTGAGTTCAATTCCCAGCAACCACATGGTGGCTCACAACCATCTGAAATGGGATCCTGCTCCCTCTTCTGATGTGTCTGAAGACAGCTGCCATGTACTTATATAAATAAAATAAATAAAATCTTAAAAAAAAGAAAGAGCTGGGCAGTGGTGGCGCATGTCTTTAATCCCAGCACTTGGGAGGCAGAGGCAGGCGGATTTCTGAGTTCGAGGCCAGCCTGGTCTACAGAGGACAGCCAGGGCTACACAGAGAAACCCTGTCTCGAAAAACCAAAAAAAAAAAAAAAAAAAGCAGGATCCTGTTTGAAAAAAAAAAGAAAGGAAGGAAGGAAGGAAGAAAGGAAGGAAGGAGGAAGAAAGGAAGGAGGAAGGAAGGAGAGAGGGAGGGAGGGAGGGAAGGAGGAAGGAAGGAAGGAAGGAAGGAAGGAGGAAGGAAGGAAGGAAGGAAGGAGGGAGGAAGGAAGGAAGGAGGGAGGGAGGGGGGAGGGAGGGAGGGAGGGAAGGAGGAAGGAAGGAAGGAAGGAAAGAAGGAGGAAGGAAGAAAGGAAGAAAGGAAGGAGGAAGGAAGGAGAGAGGGAGGGAGGGAAGGAGGAAGGAAGGAAGGAAGGAAGGAAGGAAGGAAGGAAGGAAGGAAGAAAGGAAGGAAGGAAAGGTCTCATTCTGTATATCATAGGCTAGCCTCAATCCTACCTTGGCCTTCCAAGTGTTGGGGTGGCAGGCATTACCCAGAATTCCTAGTTCGAATACCTTCTGTAGACCTCTGCCAGCTCCCAACTCCTCCCCTTTGTATACTAATAATCCCTGCCCCATCCTAGACACTCCCTGCGGGCAAAGAATTGAATTTTATATGGGGCTTTATTTTTTTAATTTTATGTGTTGCATATATATAATTTTTTTCCCTATTATGTATGTATGTGTGTACGTATGTATGTTTGTTTTCTTTTTGAAGGTGTATGCCTCTATGCCATATCCTACCCATTCTACCACCTCTACCATCAGGACATAAGAACCTGTCTTTTATTATTTTATTTTATGTATCTGTGCACCATATGTGTGCTTGGTACCCGAGGAGGTGGTGAGTGTCGATGTGGGTGCTGGCACTAGAACCTGCTCTTTTGCAAGAACAAGTGCCTTCAACCACTGAGTCAACTCTCCAGTCCATCCTGTATACATGTTTATCTGTGTACCATGTGCATGCCTGGTGCAGGAAGAGGTCAGAAGAGCATCAGATCCCAAGACGAATTACAGATGATTATGAGCCACCACGTAGATTCTAAGAATCCAACCCTGGTCCTCTGAAAGAGCAGCCGATGCTTTTACTTGCTGAGCCATCTCTTCAGCCCTTCTATGGGGCTTTAGTATCTATCCCACAAAGATGCTAGGGCAGACAGTTAATACACGCGGAGCAGAGAGCTGAGGCAGCCTATCCATTTGTGAATATTCACTCACCTTCCCCATGCTCGTCTGTATACTGAAAGGCCTGGACTAGGCGGAGAGCCTCATCTACAGAGCGTCCCACAGGTAGGTCATTGACTGTGATCTGTCGAAGAACTCCCTTGGCATCGATGATAAAGAGGCCCCTGAAGACATGAGAGTCCACAGTGAGGAGCTGAGAAACCGCCTACTGCCAGGGCCAGGGAAGGGAACACACACACCCCACCAGACACAGTGGTCCCTTTAGTCTTGAGGTGGGACTCCAGGAGCTGGGCTGAAGTCCCTGCTGTACCTGTAAGCGATGCCCTCATCATTTTTCAACACGCCGTAATTCTGGGACAAGCTTTTAGTCACATCAGCAAGCAGAGGAATATTCAGGGGGCCCAAGCCGCCCTCCTTCCGTGGGGTATTGATCCTGAAGGTGAGATAGACAGTGTTGGAGCCTTAGGATGCCCCGAATAGAAGTAGAACTCTCCCCCATGGGCCTCCAGAGTGATAAGGGCTGGAGTGAGAGTACTGGAGACAAGAGATAAAGGACGCAAAGCAAGGCCGGGGTGCCCCACCCACCCCGCCCTGTGGGATGGCAGTGCAGCTGGAAGAATGGTCCCAGATAAAGCATCATCTTCAAATGGTTTTACTTGTGCCTGTAGGCCCCAGTAACGTACAGTAGAGACCCCGAATTAAAGTTATTAGCCAACAGCAGGCACGGAGCTCAACAGCAGGGCACGTGCCTTTCAGTAATGAGACCTGGAATTGACTCCTAGTTCTGAAAAATAGGATGTGTGTGCGTGTGCGTAGGAGATTGTTCCCACCATCATCTAGCTCTGGTACGGAGCATAACCCATCATTATTGAGAATAGCTAAATACAGCAAGGCAGCCAGTCTCCAGGGAAGTGAGACTCCATCTGCAGTACCTTCCAACAAGGTGCCAAATGTTAATTACTGTCATCATCGTATGGGCTTGGGTGTCATTGTTTCCATTCTTTGTAAGAGGAAGAACCCGAAGCCACAGTTTGTTCCTATAGTTTGGGCTGTCCTTCATCCTTTCTGCATCTCCCACCCTACCACCTACCTCACAACCCCTGCAACCCTCCTCCCGTAGCCCCGTACCACGCCAGGTGGGTGAACTGAGAGTCCACAGACACTCCCAGCACCTCGCAGCCTAGCTTTCGGAAGTCCTCAGCGTGGTCGCTAAAAGCGATGATCTCCGTGGGGCAAACAAAAGTGAAGTCCAGTGGGTAAAAAAAGAGGACCACGTACTTCCCTAGGAAAGAGAAGAACGGAAGAGAAGTTAGTGCTCGCTTCTTTCACATGTAAATCTTGTCCCCCACCTGCTCCCCCTCCGAGCAGCCTCACCTCTGTAGTCCGAGAGCTTGATTTCCTTGAAGGCACCATCCACCACCGCGGTGGCCGTGAAGTCAGGGGCCGGCTTTCCGATGTGCGCGTCGCCAGAGGCCATGACTGAAATCAGAGACCCACGCAAGCTTGGTCATTAGTGCCTCATAAGACCCTTTGTCTTGTCTTCCCAAGGTCACTTTTGGGGCTAAGCCTAGACACTAAATCCAAGAGAGGTGGAAGAAGCAACGCTCATATTCACCCTCCCAGTATAAGGTCTGCAGGGCCTCTGAATAACCGCCCTCCTAAACAGGGCACGAGTGACGGGGTCACCGCTGCCACCCGAATTACGGAGTCAGGCCGAGTGCGGGGGTAGGGGAACGTGAGCCCCTAGTTCCAGAATGGGATGGCTAAGCCAGAGCGAGGGGCTGTGAGCTCCGTGACCCAGCCTGCAAGCCAGGGATCCGGGCCTTGGTTTCCCCGGCAAGGACAAAAGCGGCCACCATTGAGCATGGAGGAAAACAAAGACCTCCAGCATGAAGGTCGTGATGAGACCAGTACCACACTAGTGGGGCTCCTCCCATCTGTGTATATTCTGGGTTTCCATACCTGCGTGGGCAAGAGCCGGACACGCGGACGACCAGACACGAGCAGAGACAGGAAAGAGATCTCAGAACCGAGAGAGCCCTAGGCCCGGGAGCTTTTTATGCGTGGCCCAAACCACACCAGGGAGGGCGCGGGGAGGTGGGCGGGACAGCGCCGCGGTCGGATCCATTGCTCCTGCAGAGGGGGGGCGCGTGGCCGGGTCCACACGCTTGCACAAGGGTTGGATGGGGTGTGCCCTTATGGACGCCGGGATTGTCTGTGCTGTGGGCTCCGCGCGGGCCTTGGCCACGGGGGCGCGCTGGGGTCGGTTGGAGTCCGGGCATGGCCCGGAGCCATCTGGCTCCATTGCTGATTCCTCTGGTGGTCCTAGGTCTGGTGTCCCCTACCCAGATCAACCCAGACTACCAGTACTTTGGCCAGCAGGGTGAAGGTGATACCTGGGAGCTGCTGAGGCTGCAGCGACAAAAGGGTAAACTAGTAGGTGGGCAGGAGTGATGATATGGAAAAGTGTCCCTTTACTCCCAAAGGCCTCACTTGGCCAAGGCCCTACTGACTGACTTCAAATCTCTGGCCAGCTCTGCACAGGCTGTGTTCCAAGGGCCTGGGCACTTTTCTCTGAGAGTGTTGGTTTCTCATCTGTGAGCTGTTTTTTGTTTCATTCCGTTTCACTTTACTGAAAATTGACTGCCGTGCCCCAACCGCATTACTTTTTGTTCCTGCCCTGCAGCCTCCTTGGTCATCGGATAATTATATTAAACATTGCCTGTCTAATAAACAACCCATAAACATAGTGCTCGAAGGGTGGAGACAGAGAAAGAAACTGGCCAGTCAGCTTGAGGAGGTGTGGTGGAGATGGTAGTAACCAATACAGCTGGAATGACTAGCAGAGTTTAAAGTCGCAAGGATTGGGAGACAAGGTCTCAGGGAAAGGGAACAGCAAGCACAAAGGCCAAAAGGCCTAAGGGAAGAATGGAGAAAGGGAGTCGTCATCTGGCAAAGATTTGCTGAGGAAGGGTGTGGGGTGCCAGCCTTTGTGGGTTCATCCTACAAAAGGAGGCATTGGTGGATTCTGATAGAGGATTGGGGTTGCATTAGGCAGTCAGTCGGTGGAGCACTGGTTCAGCGTGCACTAAGTCCTGATCCTTCCCCAGCGCCGCGTAATCCACTGTAGCGGGACACACCTGCCATCCTAGCATCTGGGAGGAGTAGAGACCAGAAATCCCAGCATCTTGGGCTGCCCAAGGAATGGAAGGCCAGCCTGGGGTACATGAGACTCTGCTGTTGTTTTTTGTTTTTTGTTTTTTTCTTTTTAAAGGAAGGAAGGAAGGAAAGAAGGTAGGAAGGAGGGAGGGAAAGGAAAGGAATGAGTCTTGTAAAGCTGTAGGTCAGCGCTCTTTAGCACTACCAAAGAAAGGAAGAAAAAAAGGAAGAAAGAATTAGAAAGAAAGAAAGAAAGAAAGAAAGAAAGAAAGAAAGAAAAAAAGCTGTAGCTTCTCCTGAGTATAAAAATTACTTTGTTGCTACAAGTTAGCTCAGCACCAGGGGGTTTAAGTGCATTCATTATGGCAATTATATCATTTAACTTCACATCTGTCAGCCCTGCTAGTCAGGTGGCTCTGGGCCTGCTGGGTAGGCCCATGATTAAATCCCTGAAGACAAGAGTCAACTTTGGATGTTGGGTATGAAGGACAGGGAGTGAATACTCCCAACTGAGCCGGCTGGCAGGGATTAGAGGTGTCAGTTTGCAGCTGTAGGCAGCTTGCTTGTGTCAGTTTGAAAGGGTGGTTTGCTCTTCTTAAATCACTGCACAGAGGCAGCAAAGTCTTAAAAAGACCAGTTGTGATTATTAGATTCCTTGTCTTTGTTCCTCTCTGGACAAGTTCCTTGTATAGGGCTTCATTCCCAATTGGGTTTTCATGTCCACCCTCCATCTCCAGTAGTGGAAGACTCAGTCCTAGGCCCGTGGGGAAAGTGGCGCTGTTTCTGCAATCTGGGCAAACAGGAACGCAGCCGTCAGGTGTTGGGCACAGCACCAGTCCCTGTGTTCATGGACCGCGAGAACCTGGTACAGCTGAGGCCGTGCCGGCAACAGGACTGCTCATCTTGCAACCAGATGGACTGCAGCTAGAGGCCCTGAGCAGAGGTGAGCAGTAGAGGAGGCACAGAAGAGCCAGTCAGGCTGGCTGGCAGAGTCAGGAGTAGCCAGGGACATAAGAAACATGGTGGTGCAGCCCTTTAATTCCAGCACTTGGGAGGCAGAGACAGGCAGATCTCTGGGTTTGAGGTCAGCCCAGTCTACAGAATGAGTTCCAGAGTTCCAGGACAGCCAGGGCTACACAGATAAATGCTGTCTTGAAAAACAAAAATAGCCGGGCGGTGGTGGCGCACGCCTTTAATCCCAGCACTTGGGAGGCAGAGGCAGGTGGATTTCTGAGTTCGAGGCCAGCCTGGTCTACAGAGTGAGTTCCAGGATAGCCAGGGCTATACAGGGAAACCCTGTCTCGAAAAAACAAAAACAAAAAAAAAAAAAAAAAAGAAAAACAAAAATAAGGGGTTGGGGATTTACCTCAGTGTTAGAACATTTGGGTTCATTCCTTAGCTCTGGAAAAAAAAATTAAAAAGAAAAAAAAAAGGAGGAGGAGGAAGAGGAGGAGGAGGAGGAGGAGGAGGAGAATACCACCACCAGCAACAACAATAACTGAGGTGGTGGCTGGTTTGAGGTGAGTACTGGAGCCCAAAGTCTGAAGATTCAGGCTGGTTGGGGAGCAGGCACCTGACTTCAGACACAGGAGATTCTTTGACAGCCATGAGGAAGGCAAGAAAGGCTAGTGGGAGTAAGCCCTGTTGGAGGTTCTGGCACTCCTGAGGCAGGAGAATCAAGAGTTCAAGATCAAGCCAGATCAAGGCCATTTAATGCTACATGAGACCCTTGTTCAAAAAAAAAAAAAAAAAAAAAGCAAGGGTTGACACTGCTGGCACAGAAGAGGTAGAGATAGAGGAATGGGGCTCAGAGAACAGACTGTGACTTTGATAAGAAACAAGATTCCACACAAATGGACATGTGTCTTATTGACCAAGAAGACAATAGAGTGTGGTTGGAGAGGCCAAGGGCTCTGGGAGATGGGAGCTTCCCTAAGATAGGGGATAGCAGGAGAGAGGAGGGATGGGGGAGGGGAGGGGAGATGCCTGCAGGATGGGTACAGACCCTGTACAGGAAGCTGCCGAGGCATCTCCAACAGTGGTACAGAAGGCTTTCCTTCGGTAGGACGATATGGGGCAGGTCCTGGAGGCAGCAGTGTCCGAGAGAGCCATTAACAGAGGAGTTTTGGGAAATGTGACTCAGAAGGCCTAGGCGTCGTGGAATCTGGGACACTCAGTACTAGGAGCGTGGTACTAGGAGGGTGGGACCTATGCAATGTGGAGGGAAGGTAGGTGTATCTCTGTGAGTTCAAGGCCGATTTATGTAGCAAGTTCTGGGTCAGCCAGAGAGACACAGTGAGACTGTTGGAAAAAAAAAAAAAAGGTGGAGAGACAGAGACAGATGGCTAGTACAAACCTGAATGGCAGGTAGCAAGAGACCAGGACCTGGTGAGACCAGTGCTCTGCCTGTGCAATGATACTCCAAAAAATTCAACTGAGAGCTGGCTGGTAATTCCAGCATCAGGGAGGTGGAGACAGGAGGATTATGAATAGAAGGTCATCCTAGGCTACAAGGTTGGCCAGCCTGGGCTTTATTAGACGTTGCCTCAAAAGAAAGAAACAAACTAATCTACTTAACGACATCTTAATTTCCTTTATTTCTCTTTGTACCAGTCACTGAGGGCCAGGCTCCAGCAGCAACGGGGCGGAGCTTGCAAAGTGACCCTGCCCACCCTCGATTACAAACCACGCCCTTGGAGATAGTCCTCGAAGACTACAATTCCCAGGAGAAAGCACAACAGCGGCGACAGCGGTGCGTGCGTAAACGGCCACGCCGGAGGGCGCGTCGGGGGCGGGTCCTGCGAGCCGATTGGTCAGCATCAAGAGCCGCTGCAGTGTTCGCGGAAAACGCGCGCTGGGATCTGCGCCTGCAGTTTTGTGTTCTACAGTTGTTGGCTGTCGCAGAGGCGGCATGGATCTCAGCGAGCTGGAGAGGGACAATACGGGCCGCTGTCGCCTAAGTTCTCCTGTACCTGCTGTGTGCCTCAAGGAGCCATGCGTCTTGGGCGTGGATGAAGCGGGCCGAGGCCCTGTGCTTGGTGCGCTCCCAGGGCCCCGGGCTGGGTGAAAGGGGTGCAGTTTTCAGGGGAACGGCAGTGGGGTTCATGCACGGCCTTAGGATCCGGAAGCAATAGTGGGATGGCCTTGGGCCATGGTGATGATGGAACAAGGCAGGTGGCTTGTACGTACACACTGGTGGGAACCCTGCTCTCAAAACTGTGACTTCTCTCGTCCCAAGGTCCCATGGTCTACGCCATCTGTTACTGCCCCCTGTCCCGCCTGGCAGATCTGGAGGCCTTGAAAGTGGCAGGTGAGCCTGTGCCACACTGGGTTCCTGTATATGTGCAGGAGGGCAGGTGAGAGACAGAGGGGAAGGCAGGAATGGAAAGAACCACCTGCTCCCCTTTTCTTTAACTTTCTTCTCAGACTCGAAGACCTTGACAGAGAACGAGCGGGAGAGGCTCTTTGCGAAAATGGAGGAGGACGGAGACTTTGTGGGTTGGGCTTTGGACATCCTGTCTCCAAACCTGATCTCTACCAGCATGCTTGGGCGGTGAGGGGCCCCTTCGTGAGTGGGGGAAGAGCAACCAACATAGGCTGGCTGCGACCTGCAATTGCGATGGTGTGGACTAAACTCTGTCCCTCACCACAGGGTCAAGTACAACCTCAACTCCCTGTCACATGATACAGCTGCGGGGCTGATACAGTATGCATTGGATCAGAGTGTGAATGTCACCCAGGTGAGCTGTTGGGTTACAGCCCATTGGTCACCTTCTGATAAAAGGGGCTTTAAAAAGTTGAAACTGGGGATGTGTTAAGTTGGTAGATTGTTTGCCTAGCGTGCATGAAGTTCTGGCTTCCATCCTAGCATTGCGTAAACCCAGAGTAGTAGCACTTAGGAAATGGAGGCAGGAGCATGAAGAGTTTACGGCCACCCTTGGCTACAGAGTGAGTTGAATGTCAGCCCAGGCTGCCTCTAACCTGAGCCCTGTTTAAAAAAAAAAATCACAAGAGACTGGACATGTGGAGAAGAGAGATGGTGACTTCAGGGCTTTTGTGGAGACCCTCCATGGCTCAGGTGGTAGGTGTCTGGTGCAGAAGCATGACTGTGAAGACACACTTCTCTTCCTACTAGAGGTAGAGGCAGGCACGATGTCTGAGTTCCAGAATATCCTCCCCACATACTGTGAGACCCTGTCTGAAACAGGTGTGAGGACCTGAGTTTGCATTCATAGCATCCAAATGTAAAGCCAGGCACAACAACATAAACCTGTCACCCCGGTGCTGGGTGCTGGGGATGAGGGCACAGGAAGATCTTGCGGTCTTGATGGCTAAGCAATCTAGCTGAATTGTTGGGGTCGAGTTTAGTGAGAGGCCTCGACTGGAGAGGTGAGAGCTTCTGCTTTTCTTTCTTCCGGAGGACCTGAGTTGGATTCGCAGCATTCACTGACTCAGAACAGCCTTAACTCCTGTTGCAGGGCACCCTTTTCCCTCTTCTGGTCTCCTCAAGTAATACACCCATACATCATTTTTTTTTTAAAGAAATTAAAGTATGCATTAGTTATTTAAAAATGAAAAAAAATCAGGGCTATTGAGTTTGCTTAGGGAGGCATTGAGTTTGACCCACTGAGTAACTGATTCTCTAAAGTCCTTCTGTGACCTGCATGCTGTGGTAGTACATACCCTCCAACACAATAAATGTCAAAATCTTTAACTATATATATTTATATATATGAGTACTTTGCCTGTATGTGTGTCTATGCACCATATGCATTCCTGGTGCCAACAGAAGCCAGGAGAAGGTGTGGGATCCCCTGGAATTGGAGTTAGAGACAGTTATGAGCCAAGATGTGTGTGCTGGGAACTGAATCTGGGTCCTCTGAAGAGTGCTCTTAACTTATGATCCATTTCTCTAGCCCTGTTTAAGTTTTTTTTGTATTTTTGTTTTGTTTTGTTTTGTTTTTTAAGGTTTTTTGAGACAGGGTTTCTCTGTGTAGCCCTGGCTGTCCTAGATCTCACTCTATAGACCAGGCTGGCCTCCAACTCAGAAATCCGCCTGCCTCTGTCTCCCAAGTGCTGGGATTAAAGGTGTGTGCCACCACTGGCCAGCTGCCCTGTTTAAGTTAAAAAAAAATTTTTTTTTAATCAGTTCAATATGGACTAGCTTGATAGCACATGCCTTTTTTTTTTTTTTAAATATATATGGTGTGTGTGTGTGTGTGTCTGTGTGTGTTCTACTTGCATGTGTGCCTGTTTGCCAGAAGAGGACATCAGATTCCATTATAGATTGTTGTGAGCCACCATGTGGTTGTTGGGAATTGAACTTAGGACCTCTGGAAGAGCAGCCAGTTCCCCTTACCACTGAGCCATCTCTCTCTCCAGCCCTGGTAGCTCATACCAGTTTTTGCTGATGGTTTAGTTTTGTTTTTGACACAGACTGTGTATCTCTGGCTGGCTTTGAACTCACAGAGATCCACCTACCTGTGCTTCCAAAGTCCTGGAACTAAAGGTGGGCACCACCACCCTGGCTTTTAAACAGCTTACCATAGCCTGGCTTTAGAGTGACTCTTGAGGATCTGAGGAAACCCCCTGACTGTGACCTCTGCCTTCCACTTGAATGTCCATGTACCACCTGGCACACAAATACATGTGTGTGCACCCATACACCAGTCCACACACACAAGGTAGATGGACTTGAGATGAGGGTCAGCATTGCAGGTCAGCAGGAGAGCCTCTGCCTGGCACACCGGAGGACCTGAGTTTAGTCTCTGGCATCAAGGTGGTTCAGGGACGAGAACACCTGACAATCTGAGTTCGGTCTACATGACTTCCACAGCCTGGCACATGTGTGCACGTGTACACATACACCACAAAAGATTTCCTTCAAGAAAAAGTTTAGCTGGAAAATTCGGCATTAGGAGATCTTAT